TCAACATTCGCAATATTTCGCATTCCACAATATACGGGCAAAACACAAGCACTACAGAAAAATCCTTAATGCGCTCTTACACTGATGCCTGTGCAAAAGTAGCGATTCACGTTGGATTTGAATAGCTGGAGAAAAAATTCATTTCAAAAACTTCTCAGGAAGTATATTTCACATGAACGCAGTTTCGAAACAGTGACTTTCGAGGTGTACTGAGTTGAACCTCAGAACGATGTGTATCCACAGTCCGTCGCGTATTTCTGATATGTACCGCTTTTGGTGCAATCAAATATGCCATGGCACTGGAACACTTTCCATGAAAGTATCTACAGAGGAGTGACAAATCTTCAACCTTTCTTCGATGTTCCAGACTTAAGGTTGCGAGTGATTTTCGTTTTTCAATCAGGCGGACGGCTCTTTTCTGGATAGAATCCAGCAGCTTCAGGGTATATTCAGGAGCCGGGCTCCATACATGAGAACAGTACTCCAGATCTGAACTTTATGAAGCATCAAAAGTTGCTGCGGTGTGTACAGTTCTCTGGTTCGTAACAGTGTTCCAAGCTTTTGAGAAACGGCCTTTGCAATTCCAGTAACATGATTGTGCGAAGACATATAATTATCTATTTTAACCCCTTTTAACTATCTTGACATTATTATGCCCGGTTCGGGGACATTTATTTTGAAGAAAACCGATGCCTGGGTTTCTTGGCATTAAATTGAACCTGGGTATTTTCACCCCAATTCGAAATCATCTCTAGATCCTCATTAGGATATGCAACCTCCTGCTGTCGGTGAAGATGTGCATCCGCAGCCGATGTCCTGGAATCCAAATGGAATGGCGAGACAAGTATTCTGTCGTCAGCAAAGCTGTCCGAACATAGAATAAATTCCATATTTTTTCATCCAGTGAGTAAAAAATTATCAGCAACAGTTATAAGAAATCTTAAAAATAAAAAGTCGTCTGGTTTGGATGGTTTCACTACTCACATCATGAAAAATATTTGCAATAACATCACAGATCCACTGTTGCACCTCATAAATCAGTCATTTCTTAGCGGAGAGTTTCCTGATCTTCTCAAAATAGCTTGTATAATCCCTATTTTTGAAAAGGGCTGCTTGAGTGAAGTAGAAAATTATAGACAAAAATATCCTTGCTAGGTGCATTTTCAAAAATTATAGAAAAAATTCTCTACTGCCGCATTTTAGCATATACTGAAAACTTTTACAGATTGTCAACATGGATTTAGGCCATCAAAATCAAAAGAGACAGCATCCGCACTTTTTTTTTTAAATGTATATGAAGAGCTAGATGATGGCAAATATGTTTTGACTCTATTTTTTGACCTATCTAAAGCTTTTGATTCGGCGGACAGAAACATACTTTCTAAAAAATTATATAATATCGGTATAAGAGGATGTCTCTTAAGCTATATCAATTCCTACATGGAAAATAGGAAACTAATGGTAAAATGTAACGAATTCCAATCGGACATGTATGACTTAATTCTCGGTGTTCCTCAAGGCTCTATTTTAGGCCCACTACTATTTTAAATTTATGTTAATGATTTACCAAATCATATTCAATATGGTGCCACCACTTTGTATGCTGATGATACCACTGTTACTGTGTCGGGTGTTACTGAGGAGGAACTTTACCACAAAACTCAGGTAACGCTTGACGAAGTATATGCGTGGTGTCAAAGAAGTAGACTTATTTTAAACCATGGGAAAACAGTTTTTATGAATTTTAACCTTAGGAGACCAGTAACACCCGGCTGTAATTTTGTTTTATCTGAAACAACTAAGTTCCTTGGCACCTTTATAGACAGCAAGTTAACATAGGAACATTGATCACATCTGCAAGCTGCTTAATAAAGCTTATTCTGCCATTTTACAGCTTAAAGACACAATTGCCAAACAGGGTATTTTAAGTGTGTACTATGCTTTGGCTTATTCACATATTTCATTGAATATATCAACCTGGGGACGATCGAGTCATTTACAGCGAGTCTGTGTTGCTCAGAAAAGATAACTGAGACTAATTTTAAATATAAATCGCTTAGGTAGCTGTAAAGAAATTTTTATAAATAATAATATTTTTACGGTACCTAGTATTTACATCTATAAATGTCTAGTGTACGCGAAAACTAATATACTTTCTTTCAATACCTCTGCGGAAAGGCACATGTACGACATAAAAAATTATTGTCGATACCTGAGCATAAAACAGCTGCATTTAAAAATTCTCTATACTATAACTGTATCATTTTATTTAACTGTGTTCCTTTGCCTATCACAGAAATGAAGTTATCTTCATTCAAAAATGAAATAAAAAAATATTTGATGCTAAATGCTTTTTATAGTATAGATGAGTTTATAAGTAGAAATAAATGACATGTCAAAGTGAAAATATAGGAGGAATGAGGAATCTAAATTATTTCCTCATTGTGTAAACTTTTTGTGCAGTGTAAATATTTTGTTTTGTCCCATATACATCTGTTTTTTTTGTGAATTTGACAAGTATAAGTTATATTACACAATCATATTTTTAAAATATTTTTATGTGTAAAAATGTGATGAATCAGTTTTTAATCTGTCTTTATTTATTTTGTTACATGACTCTATAGTATTTGAGTGACGTGCCAAATGTACACTATTGTATCAAATATTGGTAAATAAATATTCAATTCTATTCTATTCTATACTGAATCCTTGGTTTTTTTCCAATAAGTCGTTGATATACATTAAAAATAGTGTTGGAGACAATATGGATCCCTGAAAAACACCAGCGTTGATGGTAAAATCATTCGAGAGATTTCCATCGACGGCCACTTGCAGAGAACGTTTTTTCAGGAAGCTGAAGAGCCATACACTAAAATTATCCGACAAGCCATAGCCCCGAAGTTTGGCCAGCAAACCCTCATGCCACACACGATCAAAGGCCTTAGGAATATCAAGCACAACAGTTCTTGACTCCCCATGTTTCTCGATTCCTTTATTTCAAATATGGGTGACATACGATAAAATATTTGTTGATCTTTTTCCCGATAGCTATATTGATGATCGCCCAAGATGTTGAAGCCTTCTAAATATTTAAGGATATGATGGCTTACGACTTTCTCCATGACTTTTGATATAACGACAGCAAAGCTACTGGTCTTAAGAAATATTTTTCTTGTCCTTTTTTGCAATACGCTGCATGCGAGCAATCTTCCAACAAGAAGAAAAAAACACTTCTTTGTAAGACAGGCTGAAAAGTCATTATTTGAAATATGACATCTTGAGCTTTGAACAAATTAAAATGATAACCTTTTTCTACCTGGAACAGTGGGTTTGCAACCCATGTGTAAACTGTTGCATGATTTAGGAAAATACTTTGAATTTTTCTTGTAAATATGTTTCTTATAACTTTCTAGATTTCTCAAAAATCGTTTCCAAAAACTGGACATTGACGGTTTTCTTCCAGATACAATGAGATGCGAATAGTAATGAAATATTTACGGTACACTGTGTCTGAAGCTGATATTTCTTCACTAATATCCAACTGCAAAATTTATGGAATGAAAGTTTATATCCTTTGAAGGGAAACAATTCAGATAAAACATTTCCCCACTTCACTGATCTATAATTCATCAACGCTCAATGACATATAAAATGACACTGACAAACATCTAAACAAAAATGAATATTAACGACGCCCAATTTTTCACGGCTCCGAGGCAGATAAGTACGACAAAAAGTTATCAACGGAACGACGAGATGGCTGATGTAAAATTAATAGGAACAAACGAATAGCAGCATTTACCACCTTCATTAACAGCAAGGTATAAATTATTGTGTGCACATAATTCACCGAGCTCGAGGGTATATTTCTGTTAGTTCGGCGGCGCATTTTACCGAGCGATTTCGACGTCGGCGTCGTTTGGCGTCGTATTTGTCGGAGAGGACTTTCCGTAGTCGAGTTTGTCCCAATTTGGTCGTGATTCCAAGGAAATGGATTTGTTGGCGAAACTCTGTGAAAAATGAGATCTGAAAGTAACACTAAGATGAAATATACAGTGTGTAAAAAGCAAATGGAATAAATTCATTATTTCGGTTAGTGTACATAGTGTACATAGTGTAAAATTACGAAACGAATTATAATTTGACATTCTTCAAAGTAAAAATGCCACCCCTACCTTCACCCCTTTCGAATGTCAGGTACAACCCTCAATTTTTTTAATGGGTAGTATAGATTTGTGATATATCGTCTGAAAGGTCTCTTCATTCTCTATTCAAAAACGTCATCGCTTTCAAGTTTATTGCAACAATTGAGATAAAATAAATCAACGTAGGTACTGAAATTTGAAAATACACTCAAAAACCAAAATGTAATGCAAAACGTAATGAAATGTGGAATACGAAGAAGAACTATGGAAGTTACCGTAGTAGATGTTCAAAATGTTCACCACGAACGTCTTGAGGCAACATCTTAATCTCAAAATAAAATGCTGCTGGGCATGAGAAAATTTTTACGTGTAGTGTCGAGACACAAATCAGCAGTTTCTTCAGTCGAATCAGTACTTGACAATTTGAAAATTGTAAACTTCAAAATATCGAATATGTACACGAATATGAAACGTAACTGACCACTCTGACACTGTAACAATGAATTCCGCTAGCCGATTGCAGTTGAATCTGATTGACCAGCGTAAGGAGGATTGTTTATTTTTTCCAATAGATGCAAATGTACGTGGTAATCATGCTTTGAACATGTATCTATCTTTGTTTGGGTTGCTTTGTTTGTTGGATGGATGAAGTTAAGGTTATTACTAGATTTGTTATGACTGAGTGAAAAACTGAACTTTTGAAGTCTGTAATAAATATTCAAAAATTGTTCGTCATTGCTTGGAAAAATGTCGAAAGATTATTATATTCAACATGTACTATAACTGATATTCAACCCTAGCTCGCACTTTTATATTTTTTCTTCTTTCCTTCTCAATACTATCTCTCTTTTTCAGATCGACTGTGGGTCGAGCTCACTTCGAGAAACAGCCTCCTAGCAACCTGCGAAAATCCAATTTTTTCCACTTCGTCATCGCGTTGTACGACAGAGCCGGTCAACCCGTCGAAATTGAACGAACGGCCTTCATTGGTTTCATCGAAAAGGATCAGGTTCGTAAGAATTTTCATTCAATTACTCAACTATGTTGCAAATTATATTTGAATTTTTTATATATGCAGTAACACTGTTTTCAAAATTAGTCAAAGAATAATAGATAGGCAGTCAAAAACCAGAAAGACCAAACACGGTACCTTGTTTGGACTATCTAGTGGTTATAATATACCAAAAATTCACCAGGAACATAGGTGATTAAAGTTACTTCACGTACCTATAATTCAGAAATAATTTGTTCTACGTATATTGAAAATAGCTGATTTTCCAACTCGTTTTCAGCCAAAATTCTCTCAATAGCCCTTTAAATTTTCGCTCCACAAAACAATTTTTCGAGAAAAGTAGACAATTCATGTTATTTTTTTCAAAATGAGTCTTGAGTCCATGATTTCATGTGATTTCATTCAGTAGTAAGCAAATTTCATGAGCAACTTCGTTGAAATTCGCAATCAATTTCAATCAATAGTAATAATACATCTCATAACCAAAATTAAGAATTGAATATTTCTAACTCTTCGGAAACAGCATATGTTTTCAAACCGGAATATTTGAATTGCGTTCCTCAATAGACGTTTTAGTACCTAATTACAAATGTTCAAGATGCAGACAATAAATATTCATTACAAAATACATATGTATTGAATGCGACACATTTTATAGACATTTTACGGATCAACACGATGAAGCTTGTCTGAATAGAGACATGGTTTTGATAAAACAATACCAAAATACATTTCTCTGTACAACTCTTTGTATTGTTGTGGAATTGGCCGCGGTGGTAGTGCGTCCGACTCACGATCGAAAGGTCGTGTGATCGATTCCCGCCTTGACCAGATATTTTTCTCGAGAGAATTTATCTGGTTGAAGCTGGAATGATTCTGCAACCGTGTTAGGAATCACACGTTAAAAGGTAAGACCTCGTAAGTCCTCAGCTCGCACAAGTTTCTCAACTTCTGAGAGTTGTCGTTCGTATAGGGGCGGCAGCTGATTAACGAAAAAACAGATTGTAAACAGATTCCCTAATGAAAATAACTCCGGCCGCCACTGGTAGCCATGAACCAATTGTGACGTAGCTGAGAGCGCGCGAATGTACGATGTTCGCTGCCCGTCTGAATGTAGCAAGAATTATGCTACAGGCTTCGATGGAATTCCGAAGATTGTTCCAGCGCCTTCGACTGCCAAATATAAGCGCCATCCACTCGCCCATCGAGACAGTCATGTGGAAGTTACAAGTACGATACGCAAAGCGATGTAGTAAGACGATAGACATTCGAACAATAGTTGAAGTTTCAGTTAAAGTGTTTGTTGTATTCAAAGTGAAATAAAGTTAAGTTTCATTAATGTTCAGTGAAGTCAATTATTAGTCAACCCACGGTGAAAAACGTAACAGTATATACAAATACACCGGGGACTTCCAGAATGGTTTGAGGTTGAGAAGTGCGGCATGATGAAAATCGCAAATTTGCATATGAAGAGTGATAGTTGATGAAAAAATATTCATTTTTTATACTAAATGTTTCAGATTCCGTGAGTCGTATGAAATCTCATCATTTTGGGCTCATTAAGTTTCCAGTTGAGCTTTTTGTTCAGTGTTTAAATTCAATTTCGTTGCTTTTTCGAGCAAGTTCTACCTACTACATCTAAGTAGTCCATTTGGTCATTTCAGTCTTCTCCCCGTGGCCTTCATCATTATTTCGTTTCATATAGAATTCGTCATTCTTCATCAGCATCATCTTCATCCATTTCCATTGGCTGAGTTGAATTGCATTTGCCACCTATACTTTAGCACAACATGGACGTTTTTCTGAAATTATAACAAACACTTCTATGATTTATAGTTTGCTGATAGAAAATGAAATTTAAAATCTACTCTCCGACTATGAGATTTTTCGTTGTAATGTCGATAAGGTCCATTTAATTCACAACCTTTTCTCTGGTTTTAAATTTGAATTACCAAACCACTGCTGGATCTGATAACACGATCAAAAACTACGCTGCTTAGCTGATGCTTCTGACGTTTTGACATCGACGTGAGGAACATATGATACCAGAACTAGTTCAGTGACTCACCCATTCTTCTTTGGGGTACCATACCACCTTGAGAAGCAAATATTGCTATTTTATCCAAGTTTGACAAATGCAAGTTTTTTTCCATCCATGTCCTGTTAATGTATGGATCTGAGGTTGTATGCACATAGGTTTGTATTTTTCTTTGACTTCGACTTCCATCATTATAATAGTTTATCCTTTTGAAGTAAGCGCTACCAGAAGGACTTACATTGTCTCCAAAACTGAGTCTGTTGACTCATCAATGGTTGCATCGTCAGTTGCTTGTTTGGTAGTGATTCCATTGTCTGAAAGTTGTAGTTTCGAGTCCCATAACTTACTTTTGTTGCTACAGTTTGAGAGAAAATATTCTTGCTTCCAAGTTACTGGTGTCTGGCGATTGAAGTCAGTACATTTCTTGAATCTCTCATTGGAATAATTTCACGTGAAATAAGGTACCAAAGACCAACTTTGAAGTATATTTCTGAAAACATTTTTTTGTGAGGCACCACGTTTGTTGAAACTAGAAAAAAGACAAAAAGAGATCTAAGAGACCTTTGATCCCCAATTATCTTCATTTCCACAACCTCAAAAATTAATAATTTTCAGTATTCATTACTACTAGGTAAAGTCAAAACTATAGTTGTTTCTAAATATCAACTATGGGAATTCGTTGAATGGAACATTTGCAATCGGTTTCTGCAACGTTTTTCCAAATGGATTTAATCACCAGCGATTCAAATCCAATGTGTACTTTCACACAGGCACCACTCTCAAAGCGCCTTAAGGATGTTTCTGTAGTGCTTGTGTTTAGAATCTAGGACAAACAAAGGAACAGGATTCTTGATTGAAAAATTATGGGTTTCTATTGGTTGATAATCTGTATCGTTATGAAAAATCTGTATAATAATGGATATCTGTATCATAATGGATATCAAATTTCACAATTTGCCTATCCAAATTCATTTTTGTAAAGTGTCCTTATGTAGTAACCAGTAAACTCAACAACATTATTTTATTATTTTATTTTAACAAGCTATATAGTATGCTTTTTTCTAGTTGCCTGTTGTTAACTTGTCTAACTAATCTTAATGAACTGAAGTCTATGGAATGGTTTTGTTGCAAAATATGATGGGCAACTGCTGATTTTTCAGGTCTTCCATATTTTAAGTGTGCTATGTGTTCCTTATATATTACTTTAATAGATCTTTTTGTCTGTCCATAATATTTTGCATCGCAGTCCTTACATTCAATTTCATAAATTCCAGGCTGTTCCGAATTCTCGACTTTGTCTTTATGACTTCCCAAAAGGCTCTGTAGTGTATGACTTGTTTCAAAAACCACCTTCATACCTAGTTCCTTGAAAATCTTTCCAAAATTCCTCGTATATTGGTGGTATGGAACTGAGATGTATTCATCTTGGTTTTTGTCCTTTCTGAAAGTCGAGCTGAAAATTGTTTTATAAAAACATATATTGTAAAATAATAGATAAGGCAAAATTGTAAAATTAATTTAGGTTGGTATACCTGTAGGGGTGGTACGCCTGGATGGTTTACCTGTATGGGATATCTATATATCATAAATAGGATTAGCTCGCATTAGTTTCTAGTTTCAATCTTCCTCTTTGAAGATGATCACTTGGTGATCGAAACACTTGTCGAGGTGTTGAAAATAACGATATGGTGTTGGGAAAAAACTCCAGTAATATTCATTACTACACCAAATATTCCAAACAGTGCATCATAAGTAATGCAATGAGCTTAGAAAAAACTGACAAAAAATATATTGATGAAACCCGAGAATCCATCAAAATACATTCCGGATAGAAGGCGGCACATACCTCATTTCGTAGTTTAGAAAGACTTATCTGTGTTCCACAGATATTTCTATAGAACTTTTATTGCACATGCACAGCTCTCTAAGTGTCTCAAGCAATTCCTTACAATGTGTGTGCATCTAGATAAGAAGTTCTGAAGGAGTGCATATGGTGAATTTGTTTATGACATGTTTGGTATTGTATTTGATTTAACACAACTTCTGCAAAAACTATTCTTGTTGCATCCATTTTTTATATAACTCAACCAGAAATCTAAAAGCCGTTTGAACATCGTTGCCATTATTTCTTTGGATTTTCGAACTTATATTGTCTTAGTCAACATATGCAGAATATGGTTGGAAACAGTACTGTTGAATCGGCCCACAAGAAACCTTGAGTCATAGAAACATATCTATACGACACCTTCTCAGTATAGAACTATGGAGACATTGAAGTACACACCTTTCTCTGACGCATAGGACATTCAATATTTGCAACAAATAGGAAAGTACCGGACTTTTTCAAGACTTCCATATTAAAAACTGCCGGAAAGGTTAGGGAAAATTGGATCAATGTACACCAGAACCTATTTCAGACCCAGGTACTTCATCCCTAGTAGTTTCACGGAATCCACCAAACACAGTCAATGACGCCAATCATTTCAACGAATACCAACGAGTATCAAATAAATGTGGCAACAAATGAATCGGTGAAAATATCGCTTTGTACTGACAAGCATAAAAAGATCTTTTAATGACGAAAATACAGGAAATCGGTAGTAGCGAAGCGTGTTTAGACCTATCATCCGGAGATGATTGTAGATACATTCAAGAGAAACGTCCTTCCTTACGAATCAGTAAAGAGTTGTCCTGAAAATCTTGAGAAGAAAATTGGATTAGATAATTAAGGAAATACTTGCTACATGAATAGTATTTCACACGAATAGCATGCAGCTGCAGTTTCGTAAGAATGTATCATCTTTCTCACCAACCGATTTCCTGGAGTCTTTGAAGTCCACTAGATACTCGTTAGGACAAAAGGATTGATCCGAATTTTTGGGGTTCTTGTTGAATCTTCTTGAGCAAAAAAATAGCAGAATCAATACTCCTGACCGCTCTGGATTGAATGACTCCGTACAGTCTGTCTCGTCTTGTGTTTGTTAATCTTTAGCTGGAAAAATTCTCACTTGTTTACTTTGTAGTAAATGTTCACCTGAGGCACCAGTCAATCTAATACAACACTGATGATCTTCAAACATGACTCAGCCTCTGAGGGAAGCACCAAACTCTTACGAAGGTTCGAAATAGATGAACACTTCAATCTAGCAGACCATTATTATAATCTTCATGCAGTCATTGTTCACTGTGGTGATGGAGTTGAATCTGGTCATTATTACGCCTTGGTCAAAGACGGAACGGACTGGTTTAAGTTTGACGATAGTCGTGTCACTAAGTGTTCTGGCGATGTATTGAATTTATTGGAGCCCCTGGAGACCCCGTATTTTTTGTTTCATGAAAGAGAGGACATTGGCAGATCAACATCTTCAGATGATGTGGTGCTGCAGGTTTTTCCGGGTTTTCCTGCAGCTGAAAAAGCAAACGCGCCACTGGAATCAATGAAGTCGCCCCGGACCGCCAATTAGTTGTTGTTGTTTTATAATTTCATGATCTGTATGGAAAAGTTATTTTCAAAGTATAAAAAACAGTCTAAAATTATTCTTCGAAGAATTTCATTTATATCATTTCTAATTTGTCAATTGAATATGTAATATATGCATTTGATTGAATTGAATGTTGTTTTTTTTAGTATATTTTTTTTAACGTGTCCTGTAATTGGATGTACACCTGTTGGAAATAAAGTGATATCTATCCATCTATCTTTAGGCAGCTTTGTTATCATTTCAGAGTGGGTGAATTGATGGAACTCTGAAAATCTATTTTCGAGAATCTACTGAATCCACTAAGTAGTGTCGGATATAATTCAATGTCCTTCATGGTATTTGCCAAGGGAGTAGTTGTTTTGCGTTAGACATTTATTAGGGAAGAGATAAATGTTTCGAGATTTCCTTTCGAAATAATAACAAATCATCAAAATAATAGAGAAATGATATCACCTCAACTTCATGCATGCCAATATCTTAAAACAACTTCTTCTGAAAATCATAACACCCGAGCTCGCTGCAAAACTTCAAATTCCTACGCAAACTTCAAAGACTGAACTTCAACTTCAAAGTCGCGAGGCAGGTAGTAGTGGAAAATATAATTTCCATGAAAAGATATAACTTTAAAACGGACCCAAGCGGCGGTATTTAACTCGGCTGTGTTGCCATGGTAGCGCGTTCAGTAAAGTGTACAATGGAGGGAAAGTGAGATGAATAAATACAGCGTGTTCGACTCGGCTGCAAGTTGTAGAAGCGAGATACGGGGGAGGTATGCCGCATTGGCGTGCCAAAAATTAGAGATGGAATTTTCTGCATTTATCTTTTGAGTGAAGGTGTTCTGGAAAAATGACATGATAGGGACAAAAATTTATATTAAGGATAATTTGTAATACCACATTTCTGGAATATCTAACAAATAATATTAGTTATTCAAAGAGAGATATAAATTTATCAGTTGGGCTGAAAGTTCGTAGGATAACATACAGATGGTGCCACTGATAATAAATCCATATAATTTTTAGTCAACCCTGACATTCAAAAGACGCGTGTACAAAATACACAGCTGTAGGTGTATTAGTTTGTGGAATAGAGCATTTTGAGTGAAGCAACTTTTGTTACTTCGAAGCAAATGCATTAAAAAGAATTTCATGTGTTGATGAAGCATTGCTTTTTGGCGATGAAGAATAATACTGTTGATGTAGATACACATTATTCGGGCTTCGCCCCAAAGAGGCTGTTACCGACGAAAACATAAAATAATTCCACAAAATAATTTTGTATGACCTCAAAGTGAAGTTGATCGATAAAATGGGGCGCTAAAGATCGAAAGAATGTGTTGGATTTATCGTGTATAAATATTTGGATGTGCGAAAGCTCTGTTCAAAGAGGGTGCCGCGCGTGCTCACAATCGACAAAAAACAACAATGAATTGATGATTTTACGCAGTGTTTTAAGCTTATAAGTCCATCGTTTCACAAGAGAAACAAAACGATCGTTATGGACTGCACGTGGTTAATCGACTCCAAAGCATACAAAGATGCTCACTGGAAAGGAATTAAGCTCCCATGAAGAGGTAATCATCAAAAGTTGTATGACTGCTAAAACCATTGTATCGCCTTCGAAGTCAACTATAATGAATAAATAAACAAATTTTATCAGAAAAAAAAATCAGTCTACGAACTTTTCAGCCAACTGTTACCATTTTTGGAAACAGTATCCAATTCTCTCTGGTATCTGTAGAGTAGGGAGGGTGAGTGTAGACTCACAGCACTTAGGCCACATGTGACCCATTGTACATCCTCCGGAGGAGTTGTCCCCCTAGGTCATCGTCCATCCTGTCCTTTCCAGGAAGGTGAACAGGTCACTAGGAGACACCTCCTTTATATTGGCAGGTGTAGGCCAAGACTCGCCGAACACACACTCTCTTTGGCAACCTTGAGGGGTCTCACGGTGGCCTCCGCGAAGGTTCTGGAAGGTGCAGCGATATTACTGTCGTTGCTCGGCTTCTTCAATCTTTACGGAATTCCCTACGTAGAGGTGTACAAGTGAGGAAATTTTCCTGCAGGGGCAGCCGGTTCCTTGCCTTCATTCAAGGCGGAGCTCTTGGCGCCCGCCGCAAGAAGTCCCTTGATGTTGGAGGTGATCTGCTATGTCCAGCCTCATTCCAAGCGGTAGATTGGGGTAGACATTCCTGTTCATCTCCAGCCACCGCCTTAGATTGAGGTGAGCACTTCTGTCCAGCCTCGGGATTGGTTTTTGTTGTTTCTGTTTTTGTATTGTTTCATTCATGTGTGTTCCCACGAGTGGCAAGGAAATAGTTGTTCACCTCTGGCAGAGCCCCGCATTACCAGAGATAGGCTGATCACAATGAGGTTCCGCCCAGTTCCCCAAGGGAACTGATCGCATATCAACTTGTGGCCATTCAGCTGTCGGCACGATTCCTTACACCTTAGCTTGGGTAGGCTGGTCCACGGTGGCATGTTTTGTAAAGGCCTTCGGGGAGTTTCAGTTCCCCTCATCCTACTTATTTCTGCCAGTGACCAGGAGCTAGGCGATCCCGTCCGTAAGGCAACATTGGCTTCATGGACAGGGCCTCCAGTCCCCTGGCCTATCCCCTATCCGCCACCTGGGGACGCGCCCGATAGGTAGCCCAACCCACAGGACAGTATCCCAATATTTGTGCATGAAGGGTTTTTTCACTTATTTCTGTATCAATTGCAAGAAAATTATATTTTTTCTTATAATTGGATTGAGTTTACTACCTTCATTAGATACACAAAACATTCGGAAAGGATATAGTCGTTCAGTATCAGGTGAATTACAAGCATAACACTCAATTAAATCTTTAACAAATGAAATAAAATCACCTGTCTTTGCAGTAAGTGTCACAAAAATATTGAAAGAGTTTGATCAGAACTTCAAACAGATCATATCAATAATTGAGATTAATTAACGACTACAAAAATGTAAGTGAACTAAAATCAGCTTGTGTAAAGTGGGTACGATGAAAATCGAATGAAACTTAAATTAGTCTGTGAGAGATATACATTTTGAGAGAACAAATGTTTTATTATGGAGTAGAATTTGATCGACTACCTGACAAAAACAACTACTTTCCGCTCTTATACCAGTAAGGTCATCAGATTTCATCTAGCAGACAGTCTAGTGGTTACTTACCGATCGGTATCAGATTGTGTCTCCTCATCAGTGGAGTATTTATATCAATAAGTTATTGATGTATCGTGTGCAAACAACTTTACAGTGCAAGAACATCACTGAGACAAAGCTCTAAGACTCTAAGACTTCGGAACCTGATTTTTTTCTAGCTTGCATTGAGGAGACGAAAATGTCATTTGGAGAAATGGTTATAATCAGCATTTCCCTTGCTGCAGGTAATATACAAATACAGATCAGCTGGTTATTCGATCAGTGAATCGGTGAACATTTGGTATATCTTGAAAGAAGATAGCTTTGCTAGATTGTTAGAGTCAACAGACTCTTAATGTAATCAGACTTGTTCTTCAAGGACAATCACAATCAGATATAGCTTTATATAAGTCGTTGTATCTTCCCAGAAAATATTCAATTTTTCATTTCTCCCAGCTCCAACCGTCCGTCTTTCCAAACATGTAAAATTATAAATGAAAAATAGAAGCTTTCAAAAGGAATTCGATTTTTGTTTCCAACAAGGACCATTTCAGTTTGTCTTCTTCGAATTTGTACAAACCAATCCTTTCGTGGAAGTCATGACGCCGCCCTTGCATAGGGGAGCACGTCGAGGGAGGCGCAGGGGAAGTAATTGTGTTGGTGGCGTTGCAGAAGATTAGGGCGCTTTTAGGGCAGGATATTTATCATGTAACCTGAAACCAGAGTCCTGGTCACAATATAAACAATGACCGAGAAGTATCTACAACTTAGTTTCTCCAAATTTGCTATGACAAAGCAATATTGCTATGATATAGCATAATGAAATATAGAATATATACTGACTGAGAAAATAGTGAACACGACTTGTGTGTGTGCAGTACACATTTTGAGAAGAAGGAGAATGATAAAATATGTTTCACTAATAAAAGGATTCAAACACAAACAATTTAAAGAAAAATATAAGAAGTTGCTTCTTCGATTTTTCAAAATTTTATATCTATGCTTGATGTTTATCAACTCCTTATGCAAGTAGTTTATTTCTTGTATCGATCTCTGAATTGGAGACAAAAGTTAATTGGATGCAGATTTGATTGAAATGACTTCGAAATAACATGTAACAATCATATTCAAAACTACTTAGTTTTCATCAGAGACATTTTTTTTTGCAGGAAGCCGACGGACAGAAAACAAATAACGGAATTCAATATAGGCTACAACTTCTTTTCGCAAACGGTAAGTTATAATTTTTTTTCGACATTTTCTTCTCTTTCCAAACTTGGAAGACGACATTTCTTACATGAACACGTTCTTCTACCTCTAAATGCATGAGATTATTCACAGAACTTTGACTAGTGAAAGAAACTCATTAATTTGAAATTATTGAAATAAAGAAAGAAGGAATTAGTTATCGTTGATTCACCCAAAACTGACATTTCAATCAATTATTATTTCAAGTAGAAAGTGATATTAATGCAAACAAAAGAAAACAGTGTTCTATGTAAGTGCAATTTGTTACCATTCATTTAAAGTAGAACTCATGTGAATGATATCTGATTTTTATTCCACAACGAATGTTTGAAATACAAACTGAGTAGAGAAAAGTATCTTCTGTATAATTCTGTGTTCATATAGAAGTATTTGTTTCGAAATAATTTAATTTTTTTCGTATAATTCAATGTTTATATGAAAGTAGATGTTTCAGGAGGACTTTCTTTCAGTATGTGTCTGAAAGTTACTTCTTTGCATGATCTACACATCTATGTATAGAGTTACTTATTTTCAAATTGATTACTTCCTTCCTTCCTTTGGGAGATTCTCTCATCTTTATTTGTATCAAGATGGAGTAGTAGAAAGCCAAAAACTTTCTTTCCCAGAAATTAATCACTCACAAAAATATAACCCCTTCAATTCAAATATTCTTGATGTTTTGCATTTCACCAAATATATCAACTAATTTAAAAGGCATATATAATAAATATCTTTGAACAAATGTTCATCAGATGACGCGACGATCACAAAAATGTGTAATTCACACTTCGTTTCATAAAGAAACAAAATGATTGATTTTTTGCCATTTTTTGAATGTCTTCAATATGTATTTGAAATAACGTTATTTTTGATTACTAATAACTTTCATCTTCAAATATTTATGTATTTTATGTTCGTAATAATACAGAAATGATACATCCGCATTTTAAAGTTTTCATCAGAGAAAATACTGATGTTAAATGATCAAAGAAATATGTATTTTCATCAGTCTGAAGAAAATCAATTGTTACAATAGAAGATACCAGAATATATTTTTTCACCATTGAAATATACACAAAATTCAAAGCGATGCTTATTAAACTAGTCAGCACTAAATCTAGAATACAAAAATAGTGCAATTTATTTCACAACACATTATGAAAGAATAAAAAGAGACATACTTATGATTTTCAATATTCCATAAAATATTTCAGTCACGACAAAAAAGGTATATTCATTCCATCACAAACGTCATTGATGACCGTATTTATATTTCTTAAGAATCATTTTTGTGATTTAATTACCAATGTAACTGTTGAGAACTATTCTGGTCTATTTGCATACGTCTCACAAAACTATCATATGTAAAATATAAGATGAGCAATAGAAAATCTCTTTTCTCGAAGTATACAGATCAAATAAGCAATCCCATGCTGTCCCTATCAATTCCGAAGTAACCCCAATACAGACTGACTCACCAGAATCATAAAGTAAAAAAGTTATGGAAGTTCGGCAACGACGACGTCCGTAATAAAGCTGGGCTTTACCCCAGCCGTCCCCTAAGCCCCAGAGTCCGAACAACGAACAAGGAAAAGCCACAGACCAGCAGAAGGAAACTAGTATGGCCGCAAATTCCTCGAGTTTCCACCGCCTCCTTATCTCTCTACAAGACCAATCTCCGCGGTTTCTGGGGGAGTTCCGGAAGTGTCGTACATCATGCCTTTGATTACTAGTTGAACCTTGGTTGAACTGTTGCATCAACATGGAGACAAGCTGACTGTTTAAATATGACGAATGATATCCCTTCTCATTTTCACATTTGTCCACCCCATCGCTGCTTGTGTAGTGTCTTTGATTTCGAATTGAAAAATAATGTGATAAGGAAAGGGAACATTAAAAAGTAAGACCTCGTTAATCCTCAGCACCAGTGTCGATATATGCGGGTTATCGTTCGTAAAGAGGCGTAATCTGGTTAACGGAAAACAGATTTCAACAGTTCTGATGGTGATAGCATTTTTGAAAGCTTTGACAATGTGTGAAACAATGCAGATTTGTATTTCGTACTCTTCATTTTCAAATTTGAACCACTTTCTCTAACGATGGTCATAGATCAGTGAAACAGATCGATGAGAAGCTCCATACATTTTCTTCGATAACAGTTTTGTAACTTCCGGACCTTTAATTAGGTTTCAAGTCTCTCCATTGGTGTTTAGCATTCTTTCCCATACTTATCTTTGTGAAACTGTATGGACCAATTCAATTTTGCATACGCCCTCCACTGGCAGATGATAAATTATGCAATATATAGCAAAGTTATTAGTTCTAGGACACAACAGGTGTACAAAATCAGAGTAATTTGTTAAACTGGTTGCATAAAAATAGAAAGGATCAAATGCCATATCTTCTGCAATGTTGAAACCATTACAAAATATCAATGATACAGCAAAAAGACGGTATGAATTTTTCGTTTTTCGGGACCGGATTTTTGTTCATTTTGAGTGAGATTTTCAATATCTTCATACCTATTTGAAAATATATTTTTCCAGCAATCAGCTGACACCTTCTAACGAATGATTACCCTTAGGATTCGAAACATGTGTGACCTGAGGGTTATCGAGGTCTCACCTTGTAAAGAGCGCTTCCTTGCACTTTCGTATCCATCAGAAAACTGATGGATACGAAAAGTGTTGATTATCAGAGACATTTCATTAGTCCGCATTTTTTATTTTTTGAAAATCTCTCTCAGCGAATTCTTACACAACTACCTTACACGAGTTTCCTGAGTAAATTATAATCATGTCATAAGTAAATGAAGAAATTATGCCAACACTTTCTAGGTTCAGAAGTTCGATAATTCAAATTGAAAACAAAATTGGTCCCAATACTGCAGGTTCACTCAAAGTTTAGTCAATTTGGATATATCTCTAAGCCTAAATTCTTCTAGTACATCAATCAATGTCTTATAATTGACGATATCGATTTCTTCAAATCTTACCAAGGTATGGTAAGCTATTAGATGTGTGCTAATAATCAAGAGTCACATATGCTCAGTCATAGTCCTTGGGAAACTGATATATGAAGTATGTCATAGAATTCAAAATTCAGTGTCTGTCACAGGATGAAACATAGAACAATTAATATTTGCAACTTGGTGCAAATGTGATGAGAGGCATCTGTTGTGGGAGCAAGAGCAGGAAAATTACATTGAATGATTTCCAGAAATATCACTGTTATCCTGAAAATGATACATCTTTCATCAATATCCAGTGAACAATCATTAATTCCCGTGAGGTGGCTGATGTCATTCTTTCTGTTGAGACAAAAATGAAAAAAACTCTTACTCATTTTGTCAGTTGTGAGAATTTTGATTGAATTTACGTCCACCTTACGAACTTCTTTGAAAACATGGTTACTGACAACACATCTCTTATGAGATGAAACATACTAACATTTTTATTTTCCAAAAGTCTTTCACTAGTCTAAATGATATATTGATTTCTACAATTATAGTAGGGAATTGAATGAATTGATTTTGACTAATGTTTATCTTGTTAGTTTTGACAGCTCAGTGGTAAAGAACTTCCAAAAATGTAAATGTCAAGATTTCTCCAGATTCCTTTCAACCATACAGAGATTTGTTTTTCTCCCTCTTCATAAAGAATTAGCTAACTCACAATTTTTTTATTATAATTTTTTCCATCAATTCAGCAATACTTGATATATGCGATGTGGGCTGGTAGTGTTTTGTCTCCTATTTTGTAAAGAGGTTTTGTCCAAGCTACTTTAAATGCTGATGGAAAATAACTTTTGGCGTACCATTCATCCATTCACATATATTCAAATAACATTTTTCCACAAAATGGATCCAGAAACAGAAACATTGAAATGTTATATAAAATACCCTCTATACTGATATTCAAATAGGCGTCACATATTTGTTGAAAAATGGCACAGGCGTTATAAGTTAGCACTGACATCATCAGTGTAAATTGGTATCCGGACAAATGTCCTTTATAAATAAGCAGCCTTCCCCACTGAGCCTACACCACTTTCTTTTCGTCCTTCATCTCGTCAAACATTAAAATGATAATAGCGAAGTTTACTGGCACGTCAAACTATTCGACTACCAAGAAAACAACCCCTCGCACTCACGGAAGACTCGATAAGAGCGAGTCTGATAGCGTTGAAACAAAGACAAGACGTCCGTGCCTTCAGGGTCCGCCATCTTTTAACTCCTCGGAGAGCGTTTGTGGAGTTATTTTATTACAAATAAGGACAGGATGAGTGTACCGCAGGGAGGACGTTGAGTGAGGTGTGTGTGTGCTGGTAAATGAGATATAAGTTCGTTTGGTACACGTTACGTATATTTTGAAAGGGAATCTCTTAAGCTGCTTGCTTGATACGTTTGACAGGATAATATGTTTACTAGATGTGATTTGCAAATCAGTTTCGTGAACCAGATTGTTGATAAGGAAATACATGTATTTACGTCTTAACTTTCGGAAAAGGAACTACCTTCTCCTCAAAATTTTTCTTTTCCACATTGTTATTCACTGAAAAGAAAAGATGATATTCAAGACCGACAGATGGAGAAAACCTGACCTTCCTGATTTTGCTTGACTACAGCAAAGCATTCGACAACTTATAACATGGAATTCTGTTGAAAACCTTCGCTCTTTTGGGTTCTCCAATGATGCAACATCTTAAAAATTGATTATCCCTCTCACCGTAGCTGGAGTATCATCTTGGGTTGAGGAATGTTATAGGTACCCGATGTGAAATGAGGAGTTCTCCAATGTTCTATTCTGGGACCTGTACCATTCAGTATTTACATATCGGACAAATCCATCAGAATATGCAAAATACATCATTTTGCAGATAATAATGATGACAATTATTCATTCCATAGTGATAGTTTGCATGAAGCCCAGGATAATATTAACCGTGACTTTCAGTCTTTATTCAACATTTCTTCTGCTTTTATC